TTTACCTTCTCAATTCAAGACAAAATGCACTTATTTCAAGAAAAAATTGCTTATTTAGGTGTTGATTTTTTTTCCAGTGTAAATAATGTAATCAAAGAAAGATTTTGAGAGTAATTTATTATGTTTTATAACCTTCTTTTGCAGTTTTTTCTTTCTTTTTTTCTTAAAATATTTTTAGATGTTATTTTAGATTCTTCTATTCCAAATTTATTCTTTAGATTTAATTATGTTTGACTATTTTTTTTTTTAGAGTTTAGCGAGTTGGATTCTTTAAAATAATGTTGTCATTTGCAAAACATGTTCTTTTCTTGCAACAATAGAGGAACAAAATTCACTCCATACCTTTGAATATTTAATTGTGTTTTATACTTGCTGATATTTTGTTTCCTGAGGTATTAAAGTGAGGAAGTTTGCTTCTTTCGGCCCGGTCAGGTGGGTTTGTTCGACCTGGAGGTGAACTGTTTGACTAAGATCTTGTTCGGGGCCCTGGTGGTGGTGTCGCTGGTCATGGTCGCTCTCCAGCACTTTGCGGGCCGTTGGTACCTCCAGATCTTCCGGTTCTTGCTCCTGTTCTCCCACATCGTGCCCATCAGGTACAGAATGAATAAAGTGGATAATTCTGTGGTTGTGTGAGACTCTTAAGTATCATTTCTCTGCTTTATGCAGTTTGCGCGTTAACCTGGACATGGGAAAGATGGTCTTCAGCTGGATGATCAAGAAAGACTCCAAGATCCCGGGGACGGTGGTGAGGGCCAGCACCATACCGGAGCAGCTCGGACGGATCTCCTACCTGCTTACTGACAAAACAGGTCTCACTTCAGTGCATGCTCTTTGTTCTCTGAGCATTAGATTTACTAGGGGCCAGCAAGTCCAGCTCTAAAATGAGAGCTTATGGTAAATGACTTTAGTGTTTTCCTTCCCTGGGGGCGATTCTCTGTGGTGGGGTTTCTGCTACCTATTGAAACCTTAAACCATAAAAAAAAGAGCCCAAAGTCTCTCATCCATACACGCATTTACAGCCCAGCAGCCTTTAGCGCTGGACTTCCTCAGGCGTGAGGTGTTGTACGTCAGATTTACAGCCCTCATGGCCAATAAAATGATCAGCTATTTCCCCATCCAAAGTGCGATTAGGGCCAGCGAGGTCTGCAGGTCAGGCTAATGTATGAGCACGACCTCGCAAGTCTTTTTGATATACTGGCAGAAAATGCTTTTAAAGTAAGTGTGAGGATTCAGAGGTCGGCTTCTGGCTTTCAGTTACCGCTTGTCAGCTGCTAAATCTGCTTCAGCTCGATTATTGGGATCAAATTATTTTCAGCTGAATGATGCTGCTCTGTCTCTCTGAGTTCCTAAAATGTCTTGCAAAAGGAATGGGTTATTGTGGGCGAAAAAAAACGAAGGTACAGAATATTTTTAGGGGATTTCAAAGAATCGTTAATCGTTAAATTTTTAAAACCAGCACATCCAAATTTAGAGGTAAGATAGGGTTCTTCAAAATAAAACTAAGGCCTTAATTGGTATTAAAATGTCAGTCTTTCGTAGGTCTTAATTTTTAAAAC